GAGCACATTCATCAAAGTTTGGGCTGCCACAGCTCTTGGCCTTGGTCACACTGTGGTACCAGATTTCAGCGCAGCAACCCGATACCCGCCTGGAGATTTCTCAGCGCAGAGTCCTGCAGCTGCCGTGGAGATGAAGATAGTCAAGTGTGTCACAAAGAGATTTGTGTTTGATGGTCCAAAGATGAGAGCTCTTAAAGCTAAAGTCACTAGTGGAAGTGTGCAGAGACCTACAAGAGTTGAAGCGGTAACAGGCCTCATTTGGAATTGTGCAAGGAAGGCGTCAAAACTAAGTTCAGGGATTTCCAAGTTATCAATGGTGTCACAATCTGTCAACATACGCAAAAGGGTTGTGCCACAATTTCCACAAACCTCAATTGGAAACCTTGTGGGGTACTACACTGCAATGGCAGAGGTGAGTGGAATAGAGTTGAACTCGATGGAATTGGTTTCTCGACTGAGGAAGGGGATGGTTGAATTTAATGAAAACCACCCCAAGAGATTGCAAGGGGACAATGTGTTTGAAGCTATATGTGAGTATTTTAAGGAGATAGGAAACATTATGGGAAGAGATGACATAAACTTGTTTACCTTTACAAGTCTATGCAACTTTGGAATATATGAGATTGATTTTGGGTGGGGAAAGCCAATTTGGGTGAACATCCCAATTGGTGTAGTCCAGAATCTTGTTCTTTTGATTGACACAAAGGAGGGTGATGGAGTAGATGCATTGGTAAGTTTAAGTGAGGAAGACATGGCCTTATTCGAACGTGACCCGGAACTTCTTGCTTTTGCTTCTTTAAACCCATGTGTATTTGGACCTGTAACAAGGAGATCTTCTCTTTAGTTTCTTAGGATTTATTTGATGTTTTTACTGGTTTTTCTCTTCTTTTGAGATAAGAATTTTATGTATTTCTAAAGTTTGAATAAAAAGCAACTCTGCAATGCCAAGGAACTCTACACTTTATGGTATAAGTTAGCTGTTTAAGATCATGCCTCACACAAAACACCATTCTAAGAGGTTTGCCAAATATGCTTCACTTTTCAATTATAGGTTAACATCGTTTGACCAAAACCCCAACAGTTAAAGCATTTTTCAGAATGCAGTTGTTCAAGGGTGGAGGCCTCTGGTGTTTGAGGAACCTGTGCTTCCCAATGCTACCAACCTTTACAGTATTGACGTGGTGGTTGCTTTCCAGGAAAAACTTCGTAGATTGTCTGGCCAGGTTATGTGCAATCTAAAGCTTCCATTGAGTTTTAATGGAACATCTTGGAATTCTTGCCAGACTACAAAGTGCTCCAAAGTTTTTTATTATTGGGGTTTTAGTTTTAGGTCCTTGTAGTTGAACTTTATAATTGAATTTTTAAATTCTTTATTTGATAATATTTATTTAACATATGGATAAAATAGAATTTAATCAATAACAGTACATACTATACAAATCAATTATGCAAGCACTCAAATGAAACTATGGTACCCATGCAAGTAGACATAGGGAAATGGGGGAAAATTGAAAGATAAGTGTCTATTTAGAAATAAACGAATCCAAAATAGTGTGGAGAAGAAAAAATAATAGCCTATTAATGGTTAATTGCACCACATACTCTACAAGTAACAAAAAGATGAAAAGGAAAAGTGAGGTCAACGAAAAAACAAAAATTAAAGAAAAAATTAGGCCGCCTATGGCATACTCCAGAGACATGTAACCATTAAGAATTAAAGGTTAAAATGCATTAGAAATTGAATTCGAAAAACCAAAAACATATACATATGAAGACCAATTGCGTATGAACCTTAAAAAGAACATGTTGAAGAACATCTACTTACAATGTACCCAAAACCCGGTTTGTTCTTTCCCAACAAATACTATCCTACAGAAATTAGTTATTAGTATAGTCAGACGTACCAAACGAGTCCTAAATTGATAATGATTTTGGTTGGGGGACTGACCAACAAGGACTTGGTAGTTTTCATGAACACCAAAGAGGGTGATGGAACAATACAAGCGTACGTATATTAAAGCATCTACAATAGTGAGGTTCATTTCAATTTATTTCAATAAATTGAATTTTTGACTTGCGGTGGTAAAGTTCTGTTCGTTTCAAAGATCAATATTTCATTTCAGTGATCAATAATTCATTTCGGAGGTCAATAAAATGAATTATGAAATGAAATTCATTTCAATAAGCTAGCACACCATAGTAACTCTACAGCCTCTCTCTTATTGACACATGGACAACTTTATTTTTTACAATAACTTGAAAAATAGGTGCTCTCATGTGTTCTCATTTAATCTCAACTTCTAATTCTTCAGAAGAAGAAAAAAAGTGTGAATATAATATTGTCACCAACCAAAGAAAATTTTGTTATTAATTTTTTTTATATATATTTAAAATTGGTCTATTTTTAAAGATCTCTTTGAAACCACTTTAATTTTTTAATTCTTATTGTAATTAAATTTACTCATTTTATTTTATTCAATTATTTAAAAAATTATATAGTTTTTAATTTGTAAGCCTTTGAATTGTACCACTACAAGTGAAACTGCAATTCAGTTCAATAGCTGCCAAAAAAGTTCAATAAATTGAACAAAACTGTTGAGTAACCATTGCGGATGCTCTTAACTTGGAGGAGGAAGTCATGGCTAAATTTGAAAGTGTTCGTTGCCTATGCATCTCCAATTAATTCGAGCGCAAAATTAAGAGAATTAATTTCCCTATGTTGGTATTAATTCGACAAAGTACTGCTATTACTTGATCAAATAGTCACTTCTAGTTTCATCAACAAATTTTGCTTGTAGTTTTACGGAAGGAGAGGTGGTTACATTATAGTTATTGCAGATTTCCTCTGTATTATAATGATTTTGGTTGGGGAGAGACCCACATGGGAGGGACCTTCAAGACCCTTCTATTTTAGGTCGACACCAAAGAGGCTCAATAGACTTTGCACGTTAATATATACAAATTATAAGTTTCCACTTTCCAGCCCTTCAACACCACACAATTTACAGCAGTCGAACTTTGACCTCCTAATAATAATTGAACAAACAACCTCCGTCTTTTTTTTCAAAAACTACTTCCGTCCCTGCACTGCACAATCAAAACAAATTCTGATCAAATAGGAGAGAGAGAATTAAGATGAAGGTTGAAGTTGAAGTGATCTCCAAGGAGATTATCAAGCCATCATCTCCAACCCCTGACCATCTTCGCTATTTGCAGCTCTCTTTTCTTGATCAACTAGCTCCCCCAGTCTATAACCCTTTTGTCCTCTTTTATGAATTCAATGGCGAGACACAGCCCAAAATCACTGAATATCCAGCCATCTCAAAAAGTCCTTGGCCGACGTCTTAACCCTTTTCTACCCGCTAGCCGGTCGAGTCTTCAAACAAAACCATTTTGTTGATTGCAATGATGAGGGCGTTCCCTATGTTGAAGCACAAGTCAAGTGCTCACTTTCTGATTTTCTCTACAATCCAATTCCTGATGAACTCAAGAAGTTCATCCCATTGGAGCTAGATGATGTTGCCAATGAACTTGCTCTAGGGGTTCAGCTCAACATATTTGAATGCGGAGGATTTGCTATTGGTCAATGCATTTCTCACAAGATTGCAGATGGATTGTCTCATTTCATGTTCAGTAAAACTTGGGCTGCCACAGCCCTGGGAGATCAACCCCGAATAGAACATCCAGAGTTTGTTTCAGCAGCACTCTTCCCTCCAAAGGAGTTCAATATTGGATATGATGCAGGCATTGGCATCACAAAGAACAGAGTAACAAAGAGGTTTGTGTTTGATGCCTCTAAGATAGAGAGTCTCAAAACCAAATATAAAGGGGAGGACAGTTCAGGTTTTAACTCCCGAGTTTTGAGTTTGGAAAACGAAAAAGGACCCTCACGCGTTGAGGCCTTATCTGCTTTCATATGGAGTCGATTTGTGGCCACTACAAAGGATGATGCAGGACATGATGAGAAGCACTACATAGTGCTTCATTCTGTGAACCTGCGACCGAGGTTTAATCCACCACTGCCACAACATTGTTTCGGAAATCTTTACCGTGGTGCCATGACAGCTCCATTCTTATTAAGTAGTGGGGAAGAATGCAATTATGGCGCAGTGATCACGAAGGTGCGAGAAGAAATAAACAAGATCGACAATGACTATATCAAAAGACTACAACAGGGCAATGAGCACTTGAGTGTTCTCCAAGAAAGTAGTGATAATGTTATCAGAGGAGAGGTGGATACATTTAGCTTCAGTAGTTTTTGCAGATTTCCTGTGTATGATAATGATTTTGGTTGGGGGAGGCCTGTGTGGGTGAGTTCGCCGCCATTGACATTCAAGAACCTGGTGGTTTTCACGGACACCAAAGAGGCTGATGGAATTGAGGCATACATTAGTTTGGAGGAGGAAGTGATGGCTAAATTTGAGTGTGATACCGAGTTCTTGGCTTGTGTTTCTCCAAGTGGTTGCTGAACTGTAAGGAAAAGGCGTCTGTTATGGGTGAACTATGATTCTTCTATGAATGTGTGATTTGGTACAAAATTTGAAGGTGATATCTTTTCGATAAACATTTCTAATACCACAATTACAACAAATAAAATAAATCATGTTTATTAACTGTTGTAGGGGAAAACCCACAAATAAAAGCAGGTCAAATTTTCCTGCTACTATGAAAAATAGAAAGTCCAAAGCACAAACACTCATCAACAATTAAAAAAGGCCAGCATCGACAATCAAGAGCTCTTGGGGCCCAAGGTGGCTAACTACCCCACATTTTCTTGTGTTATTATAGTGTAAAAAGTGGTCTAAATGCATGGATATGCAAATGCGTATATGTTTTGAATTTCTTTAATCTTCTCAGGTACCATACCCTTTCTTGTTAGCATGGTCTTTAGCTCACCTATACTTCACACGCAACGTATATGCATTTCTGCAAGAAAAACCATGTTGGACTAAAGATACTAATCATGTACGAGACACTTCAACACAGAGACTACACCATCCAAAATCACTATCATAATATCACTGGAAAATCCATGCAAGCTAATCCTCAGTTTAAGAAAACAAAAAGCTAAAGACTTTAATGATGCTTAAGAAAATGAACAAACATGGTGTGGTGTTATGTTCCACAAGTGTCGGATCAGGATTTGTGTGATTCAACATGCTTTAAGTTAAACAAAACATAGAATGTTGTCGTGGAGATAATGTCATTCCCATGAGCCAATTACGTTTTTGCTGCAACCATGAGACAATATAAAAGTTAATTTTCTAAATTTACCTGTCCCCTTAGCATGCAGTTGCTCTAGCTCTATATAAGTCTCCTTGAAGAGCAACACAAAACCACAGACAATCACAATCACAGCCAAACATACCCCCGTTGTTTTGTTACCAAGGTATACTTGAACTTAAGCAGACGATCATGAAGGTTGAAGTTGAAGTAATCTCCAAAGAGATTATCAAACCATCTTCACCAACTCCTGATCACCTTCGCACATACCACCTCTCCTTTCTTGACCAGATATCTCCCCCGGTCCATAATCCTTTGGTCATATTCTATTCCTCAGAGCCCGATACAAAATTCAATATTGTTGATATATCCAATCAGCTCAAGAAATCCCTCTCCGATGTCTTAACTCTATTCTACCCACTAGCCGGACGAGCCCATGGCAACTTGTTCATTGATTGCAATGATGAGGGCATACCATACTTGGAAACTCGAGTTAATTGTCAACTCTCTCATGTCATTCAAAACCCAATTCCAAGTGAACTCAACAAATTCATTCCATTTCAACTACATGAAGTTGCTGATCTATCCCTTGGTGTCCAACTCAACATCTTTGACTGTGGTGGCATAGCTCTTGGTGCCTGCGTTTCCCACAAGATTGCAGATGCTTTGTCATTTTTCAAGTTCATCAAAACTTGGGCAGCCATTGCCAGAAAACAAGATGAACATATAGTGTGCCCCCAATTTGTATCAGCCACACTCTTCCCACCAAGAAACATATCTGGGTTTAATCCAAGGACTGGTATCACAAAGCAGAATGTTGTAACAAAGAGATTTATCTTTGATGCTTCAAAGATAGAGGCTCTTAAAGCAAAATATAGTATTGATAATTACAGCCAAAGCTTAGAAAGCTACCAAAAACCCCCTTCTCGTGTGGAAGCTTTGTCAGCCTTCATATGGAGCCGCTTCGTGGCAAGCACTCAAGTGAAGTCAGAACTGGCACCCGAGAGGCTGTATACCATTGTTCATGCAGTGAACCTACGTACAAGAATTGACCCTCCTCTGCCTGAACACTCATTTGGAAATCTCTACAGAATTGCAATGACAATCCCATCTCTGCAAACAGGGGAGGAGTGCTATGGCCTCGTGAGGCAGGTGAGGGACCAAGTGAGACAAATCGACAAACACTACGTGAGCAAACTGCAGCAGGGCAGTGAGCACTTGGATTTCATCAAACAGAGCTCTGAGAACGTCTTCAAGGGAGAGATGGTGACGCTGAGCTTCACTAGTCTGTGTAGATTTCCTCTGTATGAAGCTGATTTTGGGTGGGGAAAACCCACTTGGGTTGGCTCACCTCCCCTGTCTTTCAATAACTTGGTTGTTTTCATGGACGCCAAGTCTGGTGGTGGAATAGAAGCATATATTAACATGAAGGAAGAGGACTTGGCTAAACTTGAAGGTGACAATGAGTTCCTTGCATATGTTTCTTCACATGGGCTCAAGTGAAGGATGTGTGTTATTATCTTCTTAGTAGGGAATATTTGAAGTCAAAGGAATTGTGACTACAAGGTTTGTTTTAATTTTCATCTCAATTAAAATCTAATATATATGAATTTGTCAAAATTTGGATAAAATTGTGTGTTCTCCAAATAAAGATGTGTAAGATGTCGAATTTCTTTCTTGGGGCCTCCGGTGTACTTTGATACTTTGTTAAATATTTTATTTTAATAGTTAAGAACAATTATTCCGACACCCCAGACATGGTCATTCGAATCCACCTTCCTACAATACTACTTAGTTTTAATCTGGTTTAATGTAAGTATTTTGTTATGGTCATTAGTTTATGATATTTTTGGTTGGAATTCGTATGATCATTGGTTTCTCTATATAAATTTAGAGTCCCAATCGCATATGCCACTATCAACAATACAAACAAAAATTTCATCCAAGTTTTCTCAAAAAAAACAAACATTTCCACCGAGTTGGATTATCTTATTCCACCGAGAAACGCAAGACCTTATTCAAAAAATATTAAAATGGGAAAGAACAAAAAAGTGATTATCTGTGAAAGATTCCAACTTTGCATAATTTCATTAGCAATAGCAAAACAGATCGATCAAAAGTTCTCTAGCAAAGAAGATCAGGATGAAGATTGAAGTTGAAGTAATCACCAAAGAGACAATCAAACCATCTTCTCCAACCCCTCACCATCTCCACCACCACCAGCTCTCCTTTCTGGATCAATTAGCACCCCATGCCTACGTTCCTTTTCTCTACTTCTATGAATTCAATAGCTCCACAAACATCACTCAAATCTCCAACCTCCTCAAGACTTCTCTATCCAAAGTCTTGATCCAATACTACCCTTTTGCTGGGAGAGTCAGAAACAACCTTTTTGTTCACTGCAAAGACCAAGGCATCCCATTTTCTGAAGTTCAAGTCAAAACCCATCTGCTCTCTGATGTCATCACCAACCCCTGCCTCTCTGAGCTCCACAAACTGCTGCCATTCAAGCTGGATGAAGTCACAGAAACAGCCCTTGGTGTCCAGCTCAATGTGTTTGAATGTGGAGGAATTGCTGTTGGGTTATGCATCTCACACAGAATTGCAGACGCCCGCTCATGTTTTACATTTGTGAACAATTGGGCAGCTGCTTCTAATTGTGGACAGGGGAACAAAAATTCTATAGTGGGTCCAGATTTTTCTGCAGCTTCAATTTTCCCACCAAGAAATATGGATGGGTATTTAGGGGTTCCTATCACCAACAGGCATGAGATCAAAACCAAGAAGTTTGTGTTTGATGTGTCAAAGGTTGAGGCTTTGAGATCAAAATATGAACAGAGCATCAAGATCTCAAAAACCCAAAAACGGCCATCAAAAGTTGAGGCCTTGTCCGCTTTTTTATGGGACATCTTTGTTTTGTCAAGGCCTAGGGAAAGACCTCAAACGTTGTACGCAGTTGTTTATATCATGGATCTTCGTTCAAGGTTCAAGCCACCTCTGCCTCATCATACTTTCGGAAATTATTACAGGGCTGCCATGGCAGCTCCAGCTCTGCCTACAAGTGAGAAGCATCATGGATCAGTGAGGCAGGTTATAGAGGAAATTGAGAAGATTGACAGTAATTATATGAGGAAATTCCAAGAGGGGTATCAAGAACATCTGGATTTTATGAAGAAAAGAACGGAGAAGGCAGCAAAAGGAGAGCTGGTCACATTCACTTTTTCTAGTGTATGCAAGTTTCCTGTGTACGATGCAGATTTTGGTTGGGGAAGGCCTACATGGGTGAGCATGACTGCTATGCGTATCAGTAATCAAATAGTCTTCATGGACACCCGAAATGGTGATGGAATTGAGTCTTATTTTAGCTTGAAAGAGGAAGACATGGTCAAGTTCGAACATAACAAAGAGTTCACGGCGTTGCTTAGCTCCCCAATTGGTAATGTCAAGGAAAATCCACTTGCACGTCTTTAAATTGAATGCGAGTTAGCATCATCATGTGTTTGCTGAATGAGAGTTTCCATTTGATGTAGTAGATTTAGTTTACAAATATAATCTCTGTATCAAAGTGAAGTTAATAGTGAAGCCATTATTAAAAGTGAAGTTAACCGTCCACCACAAAGCAATAAAATGGCAATGAACAAGCAATAAAATGGCAATAGAATGGCAATAAAAAAGCAATACAATGGAAATAAACATACAATAAAAAAAACAAATTTGAATTTCAAAGGCCCATATAAGTTCCACTTCTCAGACAACTTAAGAAGATGACTATTGCATGCTACTAAGTACATGCCAACTGCAAGCAATGACTTCACCTACAGCTCATAGAATTGCTACAAGAAAATATTTTTTGTGGAAGAATATAACCATAAGTTTTTTAGATTTGTTATAAAGTATGTGCAATGCTGGACATGCAGAGACAGAGAGAAAATGCATGCTACTAAGTACATGCCAACTGCAAGCAATGACTTCACCTACAGCTCATAGAATTGCTACAAGAAAATATTTTTTGTCGAAGAATATAACCATAAGTTTTTTAGATTTGTTATAAAGTATGTGCAATGCTGGACATGCAGAGACAGAGAGATTATCGTAATGCTATAAGCCTAGAAGACAAAAAAAAAGATAAAGAATATCATAATACCGTAAATTGCAAGCTTGTCTCTTGAAAATGAGGCAAAAATAAGAATATCAAGTTCAATGTACATCACACATACCAAATACAAATGAAAGCAAAATTGACGCTCAACCAAAATAAAATAACGTACTGTTAAATTACTTTGCTTGTATCGCATTGCAAAATGTTTTTGACAAAGCAATGTTCTTGGAATAGAAAGAGTTATCAAAGGAGGTCACACAAAACAACCAGCACCTGCAGAAATTGTCAAACAAGTGAATGCCCAAAAGGATAGAAGTTCACCAAACTACAACAGAATATGAAACCATATAACCTCTACCAATACCTCCCTGCTTCAACATAATTAGTATTGTCAGAATGACATGGCAAAAGAAACCAGTGCCATTTTATTTTCTATAAGAAAAATAAGAAACTCGTAGCACTTTTAAGAAATTGGGCAGAGATGATCAAACTAACTGCATTTTCGTTTTACTCTGTAACATAAAGGTACCAACTGCTAACTTCTTGTAGACATGTCAAATGAGCATTGCTTATGGAACAAACCTTTAAGGATCTTTAAAAATTCAATTTCAAAAGAATATGAACCAAAACAGGTGAGTAAACCAAATATCCACAACATCAAATTCTTTAAATAGGAGCTTCAACTTGATGGGATGTAGTTGAAGATGTACCATATACTTTTCAAGGCATGTATATGAATATGACTACAGGAACAGAAAATGTGACATGGAGAACAAAGTTACAGCAGAAACTGAAATCTCTTAACACATTTGTTGGCAAAACTTCTCAAATGGCTAATTTCTATTGAATTTTTTGAGTGAAACCATACCTTAATTTAACTGATTGTCCATTTCTTTTAAGGGAGCATATCTATGTAAAACTTAATAGCAACATTTACTTTTCATGGGATGAACAAGCCTGACCTGTATCCATAACACACACTGTAGGCTCTAATTTTTTAAGGCATTATGGACCAACAAATATATTTCTTTATTCTACACATGTATTCTTTTTGCAATCTTCCATAAACAGATTCCAAGAATGTTCTCCGAGCAATTTACCAATTAACGCGCAAGAATGCAATTAATATCGCCTCTCTTGCGTTGCACATCAAATATCAACAAAATTCATAAAAAAGTTTATGACTTTGGAAAGCAAATGCATTGAGTTGGATCATACAGTGTGAAACAAATTGAAAATCACAAACCCAACGAAAATAAAGCATTATAGGCAGAACAAGATTGCAAATTTCACCAAGAAAATAAACAGGACAAGGGAAAAGAAAGTTGAGCTAAATCAAGGGGAAATTGGTCAAAATAAGAAATATCAAATACGGAATCAGAATAGAGTGCGGATACTGAAAGCGATTAAATGAAATTGGATCTGGTGGAATTAGGATTGGTATGAAAGCACCTGTTGTTGCCTAGCGACCCGTTCGCGAAGCCTGGTCGCTTGCTTTCTGATAGCTTCCATTCATGACTGAAGGGACAAATCTGCCCAGATTTTGGTATAGAGAGAGAGAGAGAGAGAGAGAGAGTGTGATACTGAGAGAGAAGAAAAAGTGAGAAAAAATCGTAAGGCCAATAAGTATGTATTTATAGATAGTATTCCCAAATGTCCAGACAAGGATGGTGTTTGGAGAAGTGCCTTGATGGTATTTTGTGGTATCTCCCCTTGAAATAACTTGGTTGTTTTCATGGACGCCAAGTCTGGTGGTGGAATAGAAGCATACATTAACATGAAGGAAGAGGACTTGGCTAAACTTGAAGGTGACAATGAGTTGCTTGCATTTGTTTCTCCACATGAGCTCAAGTGAAAGGATGTGCCTGCCTACCAGTGCCCTACTCCAGTTGGTTTTCTTTTGCTTTCTCATTATTAGAGAATATTTCAAGTCAAATTAGTTGTGACTATAAGGTTTGTTTTTAATTTTCATCTCAATTAAATTTGAATATATCTGAATTTGTCAAAATTTAGAGTATCTCCAATGAATACAACAAAAAATAAAAATGGCATCTCCAGTGAAGATGTGTAAGATGTTAATTTTCTTTTTGATGGCCTTCGGGATACTTTGACATCTTATTAAACATTTCACTTCAAATAAGTTTATTGTGTTTAACTATTTAGCTTCTTTGATTAAAAAGAAATAGGGCTAACGACAAAAGACACCCTGTTGGTTTAAGGTCATTCTCAAATTGGACCCCAGGTATCAATTTTGTCAATTTACGCCCTTACGTTTTCAACTTTGTCCAATTGCATCCTTCCGTTAAGATGACCAGACGGTCAATTATTAAATGCTGATGTGGCACCTGTGGGACCCAAACCACCAGCGGATTGACCATTCTGCGCATGCCAGTGGAAGGGTAGTTTTGGGTTTCAACAATTCAAAAAACAAAAAAATAAATAAAAATTGAAAATCGCGCCCAAATTGGGCACGCGTTACAAAGCTGGAGATCAAAGAAAGAGCCCCAAAGACGTCATTCGTCCTCAACCTCAATTTAACATAAATCCTAAATCTTCATAGCTCAGAGCTCAGATAAGCGTTGGTTCGAAGAAGTGAGAAGAAATGAGTTGGGATTTCAGGGCTCCAGGCGCTCCGCATCCCTCGTACGGTAAGTTGGTTTAAATTTTTGCGATTTGGGATATCTGTGGTGAATGGGTTAGAGGTCGTATAGGGTCCTTGTGGTTTGAATGTTGTGTTTTATAATTTGCATGGAATAGTGGGAGAAGTATGAAAGATTTTGTTGAATATAGGTGGTCCTTTTGCAGATTTCAAATATAGGTGGTCCTTCAAGCTAAGCATGTGCTGGCAATGTCTGCCTTTAATAAGGTCAAAGTGTCTGCCTTTAATAAGGCAAAAGTGTTAGGTGCAAGGGTGTGAAAAGGGTTGTTTAATAAAAACTTAGCCTTTTCTATAATGGTCCTAAACTAAAAATAATTGAAAACTATGTTTTGGTTTTTGTGTAATGTGTGAATACTGTGTTTTGTGTTGTGTGTTATGTTTTAACTGAAAATAACCCATGTTAGGGACATGTAATATGTAGGTGATCTTGAATTGTTTTCTATTTGAATGTACCATGGTGGTCAAATCTGTGGTAACTGTTATGCTTCTGGCAATGTAGCTTGGTTTGATTATTGTGACAAGGATAGATGTCAATGACTAAGATAGACAATATGGTAAGGGAGTTAGGCTATGATGGGGTGATTAGTTACTGGTATAGTATCCCTACCCATAGCAATGGTGACCTAACAAAGCTTAATGATGATCAAGATGTCATAGACATGCTTGTATTTGTATCGGAGACAACACAAAGCTTAATGATGATCAAGATGTCATAGACATGCTTGTATTTGTATCAGAGACAACACTAATAGACATCTTCCTACATCATGGGGTTGATAGTAATGAGGGTTGGTTTTATATAGTCAATCAGGATCAAATCTGTTTGTTGATTTAAAAAGCTGATATTATGCCTAACAGAGGAGTTGTGATTGAGGAGCTTGATAACAATTATGGGGCTATTGTTCCGGTTGGTGGGAAATGCAAACAATGGAGACAACAGGACAAAAAAAACAAAAAAAACAAGTGTTGTGATAGAAGAGCTCAATGAAGACCCAAATGGGGAACAAAGTGGTGGGGGACGCAAAAGGCAAAGGAATCTTCTACAAGACAGGGTGTTTCTGAAAAAGGCAAAGAAAAAGTAGTAGAGAGGGAATCTTCTGCAGTGCAAACAAACAAAGAAAAAGTTGTTGAGAGGGAATCTTCTGCCCCTGTACACAAAGGGAAAAGTAAAATCAGTTCTGTTTTTGGGAAAAGGAGGGCAAGAGCTTTTGGTAAAATGAGGTGCAAAAATGTAAACAAGACACGTGATAAAGAAGACTAAAGGTCCAATACAGTAACTGAGGGACTAGTTGAGAATGAGGTTGTTGACGCAACTGTAGAAAAGAGCAAGTTATCAAGATGTCATCCAATGAAGACAAGAAAAGTAAGGAAAAGGACCACAATCTGTGATGATGAGGAGTCAGCAGACAGTCTTGACTCTGATTTTGCAGACCCTAACTTCAGTTGTGATGATAATGATGATGATGTCGATTTTGATGAATGGGTGGACAAACAAATTGAGTGGGTTTGAGATGAGGCAAAAGGAAAAGAGCTAGGGTCAACAAATGATGGGGTTGAATCTTGGGATTGTGGTGCAGGTGTTGAACTGGATTCAGAGGAGTATGATTCTGATAATGTGCAGCCTAAATATGACTATGATGATGACACTCCAATGATGGATAGATGGCCTGAGTTCAATCCAGCAACTGACATGGGAGATCCACAGTTTGAGGTTTGGATGAAATTTAGTGATTGTAAAGTTTTTAGATTAGCTGTCAGAGAACATTTTATAAAGATGAATAGGGATGTTGTATTTGTGAGAAGTGAGGCTTTCAAGCTAAAGGCAGTTTGTGCAGATCCAGATTGTCCATGGGAGATATATGCTTCCAAAATGCAGCATGAGAAGGCCTTGCAGGTTAAGAATTATGAGGGTGAACACACTTGTGGTATTGTTTGGGAGAACCCCACTGTCAAGTCTAGTTGGCTCAATGCCAAATATATGGAAACATCGAAGAGCAATCCAAGTTGGCCAGTTAGCTCATTAAAGGAGACTGTGGAAAAGGATTATAACACTGGAGTTTCTAGGCAACAAGTTTATAGGGCAAAAGAGAGGGCATTGAGGCAAATTGAGGGAATATACACAGAACAATACTCCAGAATTTGGGATTATTGTGAAGAGTTAAGGAAGACCAATCCAGGAACAACAACCAAAGTTCAATGTGATTTCAATGAACAATTGGGTCATCCAGTGTTTCAAAGGTTATATGTGTGTCTAGGTGCATGTAAAGTAGGGTTTATTGCTGGATGCAGACCCATTATTGGATTTGATGGCTGCTTCTTGAAGGGTGTATATAAAGGGCAATTTTTAGCAGCAGTTGGTATAGATGCTAATAATGAAACATGGGTGATTGCGTATGTAGTGGTTGAGTCTGAGTGCAAGGACTCATGGGTTTGGTTTCTAGAATTACTGGTAAAGGATGTAGAGATTGTTAACCAATTTGAGCAAGTAGTTCCTAATAGTGACCACAGGTTTTGTGCAAGACATCTGTTCACCAACTTCAGATTACAATTAAAAGGGAAAGCTTTGTCTGACAAATTCTGGGGCGCTGCAAAAGCAACAACTCTTCCACACTTTGTAAGACAGATGGAAGTGCTGAAAAACCTTGATAAGGATGCTTATGATTGACTGACTGAACCAAAAAAACCTCCCAGGCATTGGTCTCAATCACACTTCAGCACTCATGTGAAGTGTAATATGCTTTTAAACAATATGTGTGAGTCCTTCAACTCATTCATATTGGCATGCAGAGATAAGCCAATATTGACCATGCTTGAGATAGTTAGGTGTAAGTTGATAAGGAGGATACAAGGCAGAAGGGACAAAATGAAGAATTGGACAAAGGCAATTTGCCCCAAGATTTTTAAGAAGGTAGAGATAAATAAGGAAAAAGTAGGTGGTTTGTGTCACTATGTGGTCAGCTAGAGGAAAAGTTCAAGTTGGCAGTGGTGGGATTTCACAGTATATTGTGGACTTGGATTTGAGGACCTGTTCTTGTAGAGAATGGGATTTGACTAGTTGGCCTTATGTTCATGGAGTGGTAGCTATAAATTACAATGGGGGCTTGAACGTAATGGATTTTGTGGATGCATGTTGTCACACTGAGACATATTTCAAGGCATATGAAAACCTCATACTACCTATGAATAGGATGGAGTTGTGGGATAGAACTTGTTGGTTGTGCAAATCTCACGGCCTAGAGCTCCGGGCCGAGGGGATATGCGTTTAACACGTGACGTCCTTCTTTTGGATGCGGTGCGGTTGTGCGCGGGCGTGCCAGCACGGTCTACCGTGCGTCGAGAT